GTGCCAGTGGTGCAGCTGCTCCTGAGTCCCTGCAGATGCTGAGGGTCTGAGGCCTGTCAGCTGGGATCACAGCAGTCCCTGTGTCCAGGCAGTGCTGCCTGAAGTGTTGAACCCCTGATGGACCTGACCCTGCAGTGCTGCACGTGGATTGGGGACCCCGGGGCACAGCCATTGATTGGTTTCCCCCCAGCTGATGGCATTGCAGATGCTCTTCTGGTTCCTATCCATGTCCCCTCCTAGCTTTACAATCTTGCTATGATACAATGCAGTTGGTGCTTTTATTTCTGACCTGCAGGCACGCAGCACCTGAGGCAGCAGAGGTGCAAGGCAGCCACCCAGCTGGCAAGAGCTGTGAAGGAGGCAGCTCTGCTGGCAGGTCCAGCCAGGCTGGGCAGGGACAGGGCAGAGAAACCAGTGCTGGGAGCACAGCAGGAGTCTAGAATTGGGAAAGGACCATCTAAGGCATTGGGCTCGTGACCCTGCTGTCACCAGGGCATCTGTAAGCCAGCTTTGGGTTCTTGTTGCCACTCTGTACGTGCTGGCAAGGTGCTCTGACACTGTGCTCTTCTCACAGTTTGCCTTTCAAGGCTGTGACTAAACACAGGCAGTAAGATCTGTTGGGAGAGCACTGTTCAGGCTGCACAGGGAGCAGAATGTGATCCCTGCTGCCTGCAGAGCACAGCCCCTCTCCGTGTCCCCAGCAGGTCTGAGTGCTCAGCACTTCAGCAAATCCAACCACCGTGGTCTAAACCTGAGCAGACGAGGCTCTCACACTAATTAGGCATCCTCTGAGGGTGCCTGGGGAGGACTGACTTGCTCAGCAGGACCCATGGAGCCTGTGGCAGAAATGAGGAAGGAATCAAATTCCTCAGTGTTATGAGAGCCCCTTTTCTCCTCCTGCAAGAGCTAGTCCAGCTCTTCTGGCAAGGACAGGGGAGGGAATGGACACCACTCTGGAAGTATGTCTAGCTGAAAGCTTTCCTGCCTTACCTTTTCATCTTGAAGTCCAGGTCTCATCCCCCTACAGCTGCAGGCTGTGGAGGGCAGGGGCAGGGAGATGTGCCCCACGTCATCTCAGCCAGGCAGTTGTTTGAGATCCTCCTGCCAGCTGGCCTGCAGAGAAAGACCTGTTTCTGAAGGGAGGGTGGCATGGGAGGTGTTGGCCACTGTTCACCAGGCCAACAGCTGAGGGCAGAGCAGGGTGGGTCATCAGGAAGCTTCCCTGTGAGCTTTCTGTGTAGTCCAGGTGGGATTATAAATGGCAAGGGAGAAGGCTCAGTGTCATCAGCACAGATTTGCAGGTAGCCAGTGCCTCAGATCAGCTGGTCCACGTCCCTGGCAAGAAATGCTCAGCTGTGAGACCCTGCTGTTGTGTTCTCCCCCTGCTCAGTGTCTGCTTGTCCTACGGGCTGGGCAGCAACCGTGAGCTTGCTCTTACTGTGAGAAAACAGGGATTCACCTGGGACGTGGTGGAGCATCAGCTGCTTGTGTTAGAACCTGCCCCGCTGATGGGAAGCGGTGGTGGTGGGACTCCTTTCACTCCTGGGGCTGTCAGCCAGGGCAGTTTGCTGGGCTTGCTGGTGACCTCTGGCAGAGAGGCGTGGGGGGGAGCAGGAGCTGGGGACGTTGGCAGTCGAAGGGCTGAGATGTGCCCCTGTGTTTTGGCTTCGCTGCACCTGGTACACTTTGAAGCCTCTCAGGTTTGCAGCCCTTGTGGAGCAGGTAGCACACCTGGCAGCATCCGTGTCCTCCTCATGCCCAGCAGGGAGGCAGAGGCTGGTTGCAGGGCTGGGCCCTACGTGGTTGTGTCAGGCTGTGTAAACTATCTGCATGGACTCCTCCGTGGGCGCAGGGGAGGGACCCGCCTGTGCTCCTTGGGAAAGCAGCAGTGAGCCATCCAAATCAGAGGGATCTGTTACCAGCATAATTACTCGGTCCTGGAAATATGAAGAAACTCTAAAAGAGCCTCTGCAGTCAGATCCTTGTTCTGCTGGCTGGTTCCTGAGAGGGGACAAAACCACGGAGCATCCGCTCTCATTAGCGGCGGGCGCTTGCTGCATCGGCATCAAAGGAGAGTGCTGGCTGCTGAGTGCCGCTGAGAGCAAAGTGCCCCGGGGCCAGGAAGGGCCCGTTCCTCTTCCTGCTGCCGTGTGCCCAGCTCTGCCTGCGGGCAGGCTGCTGAGGGGTGCTGGGTTCCTGACTGAGGGGGCTGCACCCCCGCGGGCGGCTGGAGACGCTCGCTTGTCATCGATTCCTCTTGTCTCTCACAAGTCATCAAACTCCTCTGGATGCCTAGGAAAGGTCTGCACTGTGTACCTTTGCAAAAGAAGAGACATTTGCAACATCCTCTGCTTGATTTTTCTGGCTTCTTATGTGTAATTTGACTCAGTAGTGCTGTATGTGTGTGCATGTATCTATATTTGCATTTATAGCTTCCCAAGGGAACTCAGCTCCTTACTCCTTAGGCTGCCTTGAAAAATCCTGATCCCAAGAGATATGCTAAACTTGAAATCTCTTCTTCCCTCTCTCCCCTGTGTCCCTCCTTTTGCATTAATGCAAAGCCACATCTTTGCAACCTATTTTGTACCATTTCAATAAATATCATCTGGCTGAGTTTTACTACTCGGTGTCTTCCTGGGCAGCCAGGTTGGGGAGTGTTTGTGTCTCTGTGTGCATCCATCTGTGGTTGGGATACAAAGAGGCTGTAGCCAGGCCAAAGAGCAGCTGAAGTGCATGAGGAAAAGGCAAATCTGAGGAGCTGGCTTGGCTGGTGGCTTAGCAGGACAGAGGTAGGACAGCATGGGGTGTGGAAAGTATTCATCTTGCATGCCAGGTTCAGAGCAGCTCCCCTTGGCAAGAGAAAGGGACAGGGATCCCTGTTCTTTCTTAGTGTGTCGTGTGTGTGCATGTCTGTGTCCCAAAACTACTCCGTGGCATTCAAATTTAAATGACAGTGCCTTGAAAGGGGGAAGGAATTACAACAGCTGTGGGGTGCTGGCAGAGCCAAGGAAATATTATATGTTTGCTTTCCTTTTTCAAATTATTCCTAAGTAGATTGGGAAGTTCTCAAATTATTATTACGGTGGATAAATTATTCATTTTGTCTTTTAGTGTGTTTATTATTCTGCAGGATGTTTACAATCAACTAATAGTAAACGTTAGGAGTAGCAAGGGTTGGGTATGAAAATCACATCCTGGTGATGGAGTGATTGATGGAGCTAGCTCTGCAATGCAGCTGAGAACTCTGAATTTTCCAGTCAGTTTGCCATTTGTGAGCACTCACACCCAAGGATTGCTTTTTCTGAATGACAGGAATTTGGCTGTGTGGGCTTTTCTAGGAGGGGATAAGGGATGGGACTGAAGAAGACATATATGTTGCTATTCCAAATGGGATCAGGAGTTGGTTTTCCTCTCCTGGAGAGCTTAATACTTTTGCTAACTACTGACAGCCCTGCAAAGGTGATGGATGGATGAAGGTTTCAGCAGCTGTTCCTCACCCAGGCACCTAATTCTCTAGGTGTTAACACCAGAGAGAACTGTTTCCCTAGGGTGTTCCAAAAGGTTCTGTATTTTAAAATCTGCTCCGAGCACTTCTGAGCCACCCTGAACTACCTGTGGCTTTGGAGGTGGGTGATACAGAGGAGGGAATGAAAGTATGGAAGAGGTTATTGAGGATTTGCAGGGTCCTGGGGTACTGCAGCTCCAGAGCAGTCTGTCCAAACCCAGGAACCCATCAGGCTGTTCAGGTGCCAGAACTCTGGCACCTGTAGGAGCTGCAGCTCAGTGTTTGCAGGCTCTGAACACCCCATCTCTCCATTAGGCAGGCTGGAAGGATCCCAGCAGACAAAGCATTCAGGACACAATTCACCTTTTTCTTGGAAATTAGCCTGTTCAGTTTTTTTTTGTAGTTCAGATAGAAACTCATTCTTGTGAAGCATTTCACCTTCAAAAAAACAGTGTCTCTTGGCAGAAAGTAGGAACTTTGCTGGCAGCCCTTCCTGGAGGCAGCAAGAGAATAAGGTGGTCCACATAATATAACCCTAACCTGGGTGCCAGCAGTATTTTGATATTGCCTAGCAGTTTGGAAGCTCCTCACCCTCTCCTCCAGCAGTCTCCCACATGCTTGGAACGAGAAGACAGCGAGCTCTGATGTAGAGAGAAGGATTTTGTAGTCAATAGATCTTATTTTGTGGGGGAAAATGGTTTAAAGAATTTTAATGCTGCTCAAAATGGTGGTGGCGACTCCTTGGTTAGCTTCATTTGACAAGAGTTTGGCAGGAGGAATGGAAATGTTTCCCTGTGTGACTTGCAGTCTAAAACCTGCAGCCTGGAGCTGCTGTGCTGGGGAGCTGGGACCTGTCAGGCTCTGAGCCGTGCCCGCCCTGCGTGGAATGCAAAGAAGTGAGTGGGGGGAATGCTGGAAAAGAAATGAGATTTGATGACATTCCTCATTATCAATAGTCATTTTTCACCAGCTAGATAAAAATACCTGGACTGGAACAGATTTAACCGTTTTAACCCTTTAAAAACAGCACTAGAATGTTTCTGCTCACGTTGGACTTTGAGGTGTAGAAGTGAGGGGCTAACTGTGCTTCTCTCTTCTTACCTCTTGTTGAAGACTTTTAGAATGCAGTTTTCTTTCCTCTTTAAGTGGTGTTGGAATCTTTAAGAATGGTGGGTTTGAAAACGTATTTCATTATCTCTTAGACACAGCTTGGCTGCTCTTACAGCTCTCTCCTTGTCACCAAAACAAACCCTGGTGTTTTCGGAGGCTCTGAAATTAGAGTGCTCTCCCTTAAAAGGGTCACCTATCTGCATCTGCCTTTCAAAAAAGGTCTGCAAGAGAGCAGCCTGATCTCTTGGGGGAGGAATATCATTCTCTTTAGCCTGAAGTAACTGATAAGGTACAGTTGTGTGACAACAGATTGTTGCTGATGTCATGACCTGCAAGTATACGAGGCCACCTGCAGTGCTTGAACTGAGTGTCCTCCTCTTTCCAGGTCTGGTGTGTCCTCTGGAGGTGTCGGTCAGTTCAGGGAGTATCCAGGTTGCCCGAGGCCAGACAGCAGTGTTGCCCTGCACCTTCACCACTAATGCTGCTCTCACAAACCTTAACGTCATCTGGATGGTGATTCCTCTTTCGAACGCCAACCAGCCTCAACAGGTAGGTCCTTTCTTCCTGCAGCATCTATTTCTTTGGGGCTTTCCTTTTCCTCACCCTTTTTGTGCTGATCTGGATGTAGACCCTTTACAACACTGAGTCTCTGTTTGTCCCAGAACTTCATTGCTCCTTCATTGCTGAGCAGTCCCTCTGGGTCTTGGATGGATTTGGTTTCTCCACTGCTCTATGACCAGATGCACGTTGTGTCCTTGGCTGAGCATCCAGCTGGGGCTGGTGTAGGTGATGCTGCACCCTGGACCTCTGGGGGTTTGTGTGTTTGAAAGAGCACAGGAGATGTAACTCAGGTTTTGGTGTGCTAGACATCACATCTGGAGTTCCTGGGGGCAGCTGTGGGCTTGTGAAATCTGTGTAAAATGTGCCATAACACATGGCCTGCCATAGACCCACCTCCCCTTTCATTTCTCTTTGTACTTTTTGGCTGTCCATCGCTTGTGCAAATCCATCTTATGAACTTTAATAGATGAGAGTCTGTCACGGTGGGGCACGAGAACCATAACCTCAGATCTGCTGCTCTGTTTTTTGCCCACGTGCTCTTAAATGCCCCTGCCTCGGGTCACACTGCCCCCATCACATTTGGTATCCAGTTGTGAGGACCTGCACTGAAGAGTGCTTGCTCCTCAGAGACTTGAGTGCCAACTGCTACATCAGCCCCCTAACTGGGAGGGGCTGTGCAGGTTCTGGGGCTGTGTTACCTGCCATTTGGTTCATCTCAGTGATCTTCATGGTGGGATCTTACTGGCTGAGGCTGATACTGTGCACTGTGCAGGTCACTCACTGATCTGCAGAACATCTCTGCTTCTCTGCACTGGTCCTGCCCAGATGGGTAATGACTGGTACACGAAGCAGACTGGCATTGCCAGTTCAGCTGTGCCAGAAGACTTGGGTATCTCTCTGCTCTGTTACCTCTGTGAACATGTTTAGTGACATAAAACAGACTAGAGTGGCTGGGCCCTCATAGAGAAGATATTTCTGCCAGGATCAGTCTGCCTGGGACAATTCTATGCTGAGGTCTGGTTATTTAGAGATCTTTTAGGAACTGTCCCTTTTGGCTTTGGAAGCTCACGTTTTTCTTGCTGTACCTCCCCCCTGCTCAGCTCCTGCAGAGTGTTACTTGAACCTTCCCTTCTTTTCCAGGTTATTCTCTACCAAGGGGGTCAGATCTTTGGTGGTGCACCCCAGTTCTACGGGCGAGTGGGGTTTGCTGTGACAATGCCAACCACCAGTGCCTCCATCTTCATCAACAACACCCAGCTCTCGGACACGGGCACGTACCAGTGTCTGGTCAACAACCTCCCCGACCGGGGCGTCAGGAACATTGGAGTCATTGGACTCACTGTCCTGGGTGTGTTTATTTGTGTTAGGGGTGAGAGGGGAGGGACAGGGATCCTCTGTGGGTGACAGTGCATCGGAGCAGAGCACTATGGTAGTGTGCACATGGGGCCCGTGGGCATCCTGTGGTGAGGGGTGGGCTGGCTGGTGGGCACTGTGGGGGTTTGTAGGGCACAGAGCCCTTGTAGGCAGGTAGCAGATAATGGGATTTTAAAATATGATGGAGAGAAAGCTTTTGTAGCAGCATTGTGATGTGGAATTGCAAAGAAGCATGAATAAAGTTTGAGGGCATCCTGGAGAGCGGAAGGGACCGTAAGAGTTTTGTGCATAGCAACAGAAGAGAATGACTTTAGATCCTTGCTTCCTTGTCATTAAAGCAATTAGTCCGGGATGTTCCCTAGGATGTTAAATACTCCAGAGTGTGTGCCCTTATAGGGATACGAAAACAAAACCCACCAACAGCAAATTCTGCCCACAGCTCTGCTCTCCCCTCCATTGCTGTCTCCAGACAGGAACATTGACCTTTTTCCCAAGGGTGGCATCTGGACTGGGTCCAGAAGTCAGTATGGGCAGGCAGGTCAGGAATCTGTGAACTGTCACCCTCCAAACCTTAGCAGGTTCTTGTCTGCTGCTCCCTCTTGTCCCCTTGTCAGCTCATGCCAGTGCCCTTGCTCTCCCCAGCAGCGTGTCCAGAGCTCCTGCACTCACTGGTTGGTCGTGGTTCCTGATCTGCTGTCACCTTCCCCTCTTCTCTTGCAGTTCCTCCTTCTACCCCTCTGTGCAGAATCCAGGGGTCCCTGGATGTGGGCAGCGACGTCACACTGACCTGCAGCTCAGAAGAAGGCATCCCCCGGCCAACATACCTCTGGGAGAAACTGGACAATGTTCCCAAGTTGCCCCCAACTGCCACACAAGGTGCTCGTGCTGTTGGTTATCTTATTTCCAGGGGACAGCCTGGGCTTCCCTTTGTCCCAGCCATGGAGGTGGCACGGTTCATTGAGTGTCTGCCATCACTTGCATGGTCACTTCATTGGAACAAAGATTCCTAGAGCCCATGGTTGACTAGGTACCCTCCAGGGGCCACTTAATCTTGGTTTTTTGGTACAGAAACATGTTCCCATTGAGGAACAAGGGTCTGATTGAATGAGAGAGAGAGAGAGCTTGGTGGCCAGCTGTTGGCGTGTGGCTGGAGAATTCAGTTGCTGACTCATCTGCATTTTAAATGAAATGAAAGGCTGATAGATTGGAAACTGAGAGAAGGGAGGCAGAATCCTCCCAGGAGAACACTGCCAGCTTTGAACACGGAGGTCAGTGTTCTCCAGCAAGTTGCTGCCAGAGCTGCCTTTCAGATGAGTGTAAAACAAGACTCTGATCAGACAGGGTGTTGCCCAACCCCATCCACAAGATTTCTAGGCCTAGGTGTCCTGACCAAGCAGTGACAGCTGTACTTTTGCCCCTTATCTTGCTGTATTGTAAGGAGACAGAAACATTTTAATTTTACATAATTTAGGAATAAGGAAAATGGGCAGAGCAGGCAGTAGGGAGCCTGGAGATGGGAGAGCAGGGGCTCTGCAGGGCAGGACTGGATTTAGCAGGTAGATCTGGGTGCAGTAATGGCACCCCTCTTCTTTCCTGCCTTTGCTCACACGATGCTGAGAGTTCCAAGTTTTTGTTTGCAGAAATTCTTCTGTAAGAGGAAAAGAAACATGTAGTGTAAGCTCCTTAAGGCCTAATCCTGTCTCTGTGTGTCTGTGTGTGTGAGTGCACAATGCTCCCAACTCGAGGTTGTTTGCTAATTTACTTCTCTCTTAAGAGAGTCTCACACCAAAATTCTGTTTGCTGGCTTTGCCTTTACACGGTTTTCCACGAGGGGGGAGGGATTTAAATCCTTCTTTTCTCTCTGACTAGACCAAGTCCAGGGCACTGTCACTCTCCGAAATATCAGCACTGTGTCCTCAGGTCTTTACCAATGTGTGGCTTCAAATGCCATTGGAACCAGCACTTGCCTTCTGGACCTGCAAGTCATTGCACGTAAGTGTTCTGCCCAGGGAGGCTTCTGTCTTGTGACAGTAAAACGTGTAGTCATGTTTGCTGTGAGTCACCACCTGCCTCTCCACCAGAAGACCATTGTGCCCTGGAGTGGGGACGTTGCCTTTCCCCCTCCCAAGCTGTGGTATCCTCAAATGCTCACGGAGGGCCACGGCCTAGCCCTGATTTCTTCTCCCCTCTCTGTTGGACCCTCCCCACAGCCCACCCCCGGAGCGTTGGCCTGATCGCGGGAGCGGTGGCCACGGGAGCTGTGGTGCTCGTCGTCTGCGTTGTCTTGGTGGCCGTGGCACTGTTTTACTGGAAAAACAAACACAAAGAAGAGGAAGAGGAGGAGATTCCCAATGAGATAAGGTAAGGGTCAGGGAAAGCTGGTGGCAGGGCACCTCTGATCACTCAGAAAAAGAAGCAGCTGACAGGAAGGGAATTGGAAATCTCACACTTTGCCAATCCTGGGTGTGTTCCCATGGGCCAGGGGAAGATGTCTGTTTATGTCCAGAAAATGGAGGGAGTAAACGAAGAATGCTAATGACAGATGTTGATTTCAACATTGCCTTTATTAAGAGCTTTGACTTGATGTTGTTAGCTCCATAGGAGAGAGAGGTGGGGGGCATTCTGACCCACAGCATCAGACGGTGATGGCTGAAAAGCTTTGGAGATACAGCTGTGATCTTCTCTGGGGTTACAGCCATGGTCTTCCCCTCTGGCAGCTTCCCGTGGCTCTCCTGAGGAGCAGCTTCATTGGTGGTACAGCCATACTGACTGCCTGTGAAGTACCAGTGGCTGTGCCAACCGCTGATTTTGCCCCCCTAGACACACGATTATGGGTTGTTTGGCCCAGCGTTAGGTTCACAGAGCAATTAACGTGCACAGAGGTGGGTCCTGCAAAGAGGGATGAGCAAACGGGCCAAGGAGCAGTGCTGGTTCACGCTGGTGCTGTTCCTCACTTTGAACTGATGGTGCTGACCCTAGCAGGGCGTGGTGGTAGGAGTGGGGTGTTGGGCAAGCAGGGTATCCTCCTCCGTGTGCCCTTACACCCTCTCCCTCCCAGGGAGGACGACCTGCCGCCCAAATGCTCCTCTGCTGCGAAGACGTTCCACGCCGACGCCTCCTCGTCGGAGAACG